TTGCACCGCATGCAGAAGACGAAGAAGGGCTTTGCCCGCAGGCATTCTCGATGTGTGCGAGGCTGGGTGTCATCCGTGTCCTCGACACAGGACTCATCGAGCAGAGAATTCGTGAAGAAGGTCCTGGTGATGTTATGGTGTCTTAGCCACGCGAGCATCGTTCGAGGTGATAGCTGAATGTGAGCTGTAAGTGCTCACAATCTTGATGGGGGGAGAGTGGTAACGGGTTCCAATTTAACATGGAACCAGATCGGCTGGTTCAGCACATGTTTCACATGCCCTGGTATGAAGGGATCACACAAGATGGTGTGATCACTAAACGTGATGGCTTACACACGATGGTGTGACCACACAGTGATGTGCTATACTTAAGCGATAAGTCAGTACGTGGCTGAAACAGCCAGTAGTTATACATTTAACAAGGTTTATTATAGAGATAGGAGAACCTGTAGATTTAGATCTAGCGCAAATCAAACCGAGAAGTACATTTACATTTCAAACGGGAGAGTTAATTAGTCTGGGGTCAGGGTTGAAGTCACTCTTGAAGTTTGCGGATCGCGATCCGCTACACTCGTACTGGTTCTAAGTATAGAACGAAGGTCACCAACCTTAATCAAGCTTCCTCTTAGCGAAAAAGCCACGGCAGCCCCGCTACTCCTTTCGTTGCTTCTGAGAAGAACTGTATAAAACTAGTTGCAACGTCCAACCGTATAGTGACGCTGCAATATGGGTCGCATCGTGCTTCCCTCAAACTTTTTTACGCTATTTTTTCGCTTGGACTGGCAAGCTGTTTGCACAACTATAGTTCAAGCAGCGCCTGTAACGGGGTTACCATACCCTGGCAACAGGGGTGTCACATCAGATGGGCATGGTGTGACCACACCCAAACAAGAATACGGTACGGGGCTAGATAGCCAGTAGTTATACATGTATTTAGATTTTTCGATATTTATTTAGTAAAATCTACACATTTAAAATTAGGCAGTTTAGCCGCAAATAAAAATAAATAAAATACAGTTTTGGATTTAAACGGAAGAGTCAATTAGCCTTGGGTAAGGCAATAATTATTTTTGGAGCTAGCGGATTGCAATCTGCGAACTCGTACTTGTTCCAAGTATAAAACGAAAGACCGGTGACTTAAAGTACGCTTCCTCAAGCGTTAAGCTACGGCAGCTCTGCTGCAACGCGCATTTCAAACAGACACTTACACATATTAATTTAAAGTGTGTCCAATTGTGACGAGCAGCGGCAGAAGCGGCTAGCTTAAAAAATACAATAAAATCTCATGCCTATCCCGAAAATAGCTCTTCTTTATCGGGATCGACCACTATCTGTCATCTGTGATGCTTTGTTTGATAGCATAAGCTGCGGTTCTTACTTTTAAGCAGGCATGAGTGCGCCATCGTGTCAAGTCACACCTTCTCCAATTGACAGAGCAGAGCCACACGGCTCACAAAATGAATCTATCTGCAGTGAAGTATAATATTTTCATGTTCACGATACATAACCAGATTTGTCTTCATTATACACAGCGACGTCGTCATTAAGTCGCTCACGACAATGGCAATATTGCCATCATTCTTTGCCTAGTATACATTTGAGGTAAAGTAGATTTGAGTTGGCGTGTGTAGTGACATATGTGCTTTTACTCATTAGTGCATGATACGATGGTGACGTCGCTAGTTGGCGTGTGTAGTGACATATGTGCTTTTATTCATTAGTGCATGATACGATGGTGACGTCGCAGTTGGCTGAGGCAATTCGTACTGCGTGACATGAGCAACATGTGTTGCGCAGATTAAAATATTGGGAAGAAGTGACGTCTGTCTCTAGATCGAAGTGTATGGTCGCACGCTTGCATTACTCCTTATGAAGAGCTCACAATATTAATAAATTATCACACTTGACTTGAAGTGTACGATCAGGTCCATAGTACAAGATACGACACAATGCGCATGATACTCTCTCCAATAGTCACCATGGATGGGAGCTGACATACCGCACAGTAATCGCTATGTTCTGGTGTTGTACATGAACTGGTGGTTAAGGACTCATCCTAAATCGTAAAAAGCATGACAGCGGATAAATTCTTTGTGGCATGAGTCGGCATTACTTTTAAGTCGGCTGGTTCTGGAAGGATATTGGCATTTCGTGAGCATGGGCTGCTTTTTATCTTTCAAGACACGCATGCCGTTATATCAACATTGTGATATTTATTAAATGACTTTGCAAAATCAAACATTTTGCTGCTGTCAGTGACACCATTATCGGGAGAGATTGAACCAAGCTTTATATCTACCGAAGGTTTTGTCAACAAGGCTTGTCTTGAATCCATATCCGCGCTTTACAGTGATTATCGACAGTTTTCAGTGATCGAAGCCCAAATTTGGATGTCTACCGCCGACTACCCCAGAACAGATGCCCAGACTGGACGCAATTATCGTCTGGATGAGTTTTTTGTCGAAGCACTAGCGTGAAAGACCACTCTTCCAAAGCAAAGCGCTTCCACTTATTGCTTTTGTGGCATATCACGTAGTAGACGTCTCTACAGATTTTTTACGTTTTCATACATGGTTTGGTGGACCCAAAGATGCCCTTCACTCCACCGAGGTTTGGCTTAATGTAGGTTAAATGAAGTGCTGATTCATTCAAGTTGCTGTTATCAGTCCGGTACACTTCGTAGCAACTTCATAAATTTTATCTTAACAAAATTGAGCGTAATGATACACTCACGCGAGGTACTTACGCGAGGTTGTGCAAAAGCAGCGTTCAAATACCAGATGCAGACGGAATGCTTGTGGATTTGTAGTGATAATGAATGAGGTTATGCGCTGTTAATGTACTAACTCCAAATGCATCATCTGTTGGCTATAATGCTGATTGTGGTAATGCTTCATCGATTTGCTTATGGCCTTAGGGTAAAAATTATTATAACAAACTTTTAGCATATCGAAGAAAGTACGAGATTTTCTGTGTTCTTAGTGGGCTTGCAAAAGCCATATCACGGTACTGAACAAATAAGCCAAGCGAAGGTAAGGATCTTTATCAAAGATAATGCAGCGCTTCACTTTTAACATTGCCTGTAAAATTCGTGCTCCAGGACAGCGATACGGTAATGAATCGCTGGAACTCAAGTCATTTTGCACGATGGCGTAATTCGAAGTGTCTACCCCAAAATACTGTCATCTCCGTATTGACCGTACGTCAACACGCTCAGCGCCATCTGCAGAAAATTTGTCCTTCGCCGGCACAAGAGATGTTCCACTCCCACTTTGAATGGATAGTGCTTCAGTGGACTAAATCCAAAAACAACTTGGCTGGACGAGGTCACACACCTGTAAGACCCGGTGCCATTCATCACTCGTCGTAGCCTCTTTAGTTAGCCAACGAGTAAGGATATATGTTTGCGCTACGAAGCGCGCTTTCTTGTACGCGATCTTGTTTTCAACTTGATTTCTAGTTAGAAGCCAAGCCAGCACGCCACTAGCTTGTTTACGGCAAAGTCTTGATGTGACAAGTATCCACTTTACCGCTCAGGTCGTGCTTCGTATTTAACAAAGGCAAGCAAACAGCGATGTCCCATATTTCAATGAAGATGACAGGTTTATATCTTTTAATATATATCAAAACGGTGAATCCTCCCGAAGCCTTTAATGCCCCCCTTCGGTGTTGCTTGCTTTTTTTCTTCCCTTGTCTGTACAAAGCTGAATGGGATACAAGAAAAGGCATGAGATTCGTGGACGATGACCTTTTGGTGATGTCAGCTGCGATGAAACCGCCCACAGGTCATACCCGAGTCACGACCCGGTATTTTGCCCTTACCAACTGACATGTGGAAAAGGCTTTCTCTATCTGTGTGAACGTCTTCAACTCTGAGGCTTCTCTACGCTCCACCTTTTCTCAGCAGACGTAATCATTTATATAAGTGTGCCTTAATTTGATTAATGGCCTTATCGCGGGGCTACAACATGGACTACAACGCTAAGCCTGATCTGGCACTGGGAATCTCGTGTGCCCTTCTGCAGGCGAAAAAGTTGCGTTGACTTTTTCAAACTTAATCACGTCGTTATAAGTGGTTTGATTCATTAAAAATGTTTAACAACGCCACAACAATGATTTTTCGGATCTTTGCGTGCGGCCAGCCGCTTAAAAAGGCAAATCGATTGCTTTCTCGCCTCTCTGTTTACCGATCTTGAAGCGTATTGTCTGCGGGAAGGTTAGAAGCATTTAAGCAGATCCACACACTCCCTTAGGGTTATTTTCTGGCACCAGACGCTGTCGAAATCACAACTTTTTTATCGTACTCAGCTCAAGCACTGGGCAGAGAAGGCAATGTGTCAACAGTCAGACAGCTATCTAGCGCGGTATACGTTGTGAGAGAGGGGGTGAAACGAGAAGGTACCATATCGTGATGTACGTAATCCTTACGCTATTGCTCTAAAATAAGGCTCGATCTCAATAGTACCAAAGTTATTTATAAGATGAAAAATCTTGCTCAGTGCTGGAACGGATAGTGCTCCGGAACGATAAGGTTCGTTTGATACGTGAGCTGCTAGCCATACGCTATACAGTACATACCGAAATGTTTAGCATAGTTAAACAGAGTGTTTGGTTTATATCTGAACCAAACTGATGCTGCATATATGCTACTCTTGAATTAGAGCAAACTGAGTCCTTAAATACCTGAATGGCCTTTGTTCTGTTCCTCATTGAATGTCAATACTCATCATCTGTGCCTTATTTCACCTGGACTCGTTCAACCGAACTTACCCCTGTGTTTGGTGCACGAAAATCTTGTTGTGCCGAGAAGCAAAAATAAAATGAGTGTTTAAACTGTTGTAGGGTACTCACTAATGTTCATGACCCATCCGTTTGTCTTAATACAAGGAACGGCCAGAATAGTAAAGATTTACGACGCACACTGCGCCGGAAGTTCGTCTAGCTGCCTCAATATACATTCAAGAGTTAAGCACTTGATCTATGCAGCGTATAGCTTAGCGAGTTACCAGTAAAGGAGCGAGTTCTGGGACCGACGCTCAAAATGAACAAGGCAGTAAAAAAATCTGATCTGCAATGGGAGCGGTTAAAATGATTCTTCAAAACTCGATCCCGCACATTTGCATTCATTGAAAGCAATACGGATGCATCAGCTTACAAGATTGAGACGTTCCCAACCCTCCTATACGAGGTGTGCTCGTTGTGACCGTTACCTGCGGTTGAGAAAGATACAACCCCAACCAACTGGCTCCGGATTAGCAAGTACAACCTTCCAATCTAATACCGCAAGAGTCGATGCATTTTTTGCATAAATCTAACGTCGTGACCTTAAATTCTGATTATTTGAGGGGGCCCGTATAAAGCGGCGAAGGAAGTGCTCTTTCTCGCCCCGAAACAAAGAGCCACACTTGCGCTTTAAAATGTGCCCCGCGAACGCTCTCTGATCGCTTACTTCTTAAACTATCCTTTTGCGCCTGGGGTAGCAGCTGCTACGTTAAAATGTATCGTTCTTGAAATCTGTATTTAAATACTAGAGTCGACAAAAGTGCCACTTGGCTCATTGCACACACAAGGGATAGCGGGCACGTCGTTTAACTCATATATGTCATCTTCAATGAAGCAGGCATCTGACAAAAGCGTCGTTTGATGCTTGATTTTGTGAAGTAACAAAATAGCAAAGCCTACGTCATCACCAGCATATGTTGTGGCCACCCTGATTATCGCCTCGAACCCGCGGATTCAGCTACCGGCACAGCCTCCGTGTTGCGTCAGAACCAGGCCTCTTCGCTAAATAAAAACAGATTTATCTGCATCGCCCTTCGTTCTCCAGATCATGTGAGCAGAAAGTGCATGAGATCATTAGCGGAATAACACCAGGACAATCTGACCGAAGAGGGACCCCAAACTTTCATGGGTTTCCAAGGATATCGACCTTCCAATTTACCGTACTTAAGTAAAGCCTTTCAAATTCGCTGGACTGACTCACTTTACACGAAATATGACCACCCCTTGCATATCTAGTACAGCCGGTGCTCGCGTTGCTTTCTCAGTTATGGCTGCATATCAACTCCTCAAATATGCTCAGTCGGATTCTTACCGTTTAGCTCGGATATTCAATGTAAACTAAAGCAAAGTTGGCTCATCGACACGGCTTTATTGAGTCATTGAATTGTCTTTACTAAAGTGCTCTGCGTTTGAATGGTTTGTACGAGCGCGAAGATTATACTGCCGTAGCAGATTTAGCAATGTAACATTCTCTTCGGGGCAATAAGAGTGCAGCAACAGCTAAGAATAGTCCACTGTAGCTATGTCGCAACTTAATCACAGAACACAGACAATGCACGTCTCGGCAACCGATCGGTGCTTAAAAGACCTTTGATCCACAATATGTTCACATATGTACTATCTGCCTCTGGCATTTGCGTCTCTATAATAGGTATCCTGGCTCTAGGCCCTAGCGTCGTGCACCAGACAAATGACGTTCATTCTAACTAAGATGATTTTCTTACTTGTCTACGAATTGCAGCCGGGCTGATATCAGTATGTTAAGCCATCGACTATTTCTCTATCATACCAAAGCAAAGTCGTGGTGGCGCGATGGGTCACTAAGGATGTGTACGTCATTGATTTAAAGAAGAGGTGTGAGCAGCAGCGCAAACCCAACGAGTGCGGTCATTTGACCCAGCATCGAGATTTTTAAGTGCATTACATATCATGTATTGATCCATGTGATCATCAATCTGTACATAATTTGCGGCGGATATAGCCAATCTGAATCCTGATACCCCTAATTTTGTTTGGCAAAACTCGCTGAAAAGCGCTGATTTGATCCTAAACAACGAACACAGACTAGCAGTTTTGAGAGACCGCTAGACCACAGACCACCGGCAATGCGTCGCTGACATAAAGAAATAAGTTTTTTGCCAGCACAGTCTACAAATACCAAGATGTCATCATTACTAGACACGTCATTTGGACGGCCAAAAGTAGAGTCCATATAATGGGTTGCCAGGACCAGCGGAATGTTCAAAGTACACTTACATGCTTTACTTTTTTTTAGCATACACCTCACCCTTCTGTGCCATTGTCGTGCATGGTGCGCGGAATGCCTATTGTACTCTGTAGGACTTGTCATCAATCCGACGCCGAGTCCTATCGTAATGAGATTAGCACATAAATTGCTCACTTAACTGTCCCCAGGATAACTAGACACGCATAGTCGACTCATGTCTATCGATGGTCCTTAAAGGTTGTTCAATTGCTATACGCAGTAAGCGCTTGCCAGAAGACATCTCCAACTATAAGGATGCGCTGTTGAGACACCCTCGAAACGCCCTTGTCAGACGTCGCTAGGAAGAAAAGTGGCTCTCACCGTGAGGCTCTAATTCGGGCATGTATTCTTTCAAACGGTTCATTTAGCTCCCCGACAAGTTTAGATTCTCTGTCATTGCAAAAAATCTCTTGTTCTAGACCTTACTTATTTTATATCTGGCGTAGATTGAACGCATTGATTTATGGATTGGATGGAAGTACAACGAGTTTAATGTCAAGAATTTTTTTACCGATAGAGTTTGATGAGCCAGAACTTTACTCCTTTTGGAAGCAGAAACGCTTTAAATGCTAGCCCAGAGCCGCGATAGCTTTGGTGCAACTTGTGATTGCTTGAGTCGATGAGCCACTGCAATTTTGAAGAGCTCAAGAGACAGAAGCTACAGCGGGCCATTATCTCAACGTGAAACAGAAAAAAAGTATTTCGGTCTCAATGTAGAAATCTTTTGAGACACGAATGAGCAAAGCGTCCGAAGCGAGTCTCAATGAGGCGTTTGAGTGCAGCAATAAGCTTCGATTTTCTGTGCCAGGTCAAGTAGTCACGGGCGACTAGTGGCGAAAGTGGAGCTATAAAGGAAAGTCTGGTTGTTTCACGATTAGCGCCGCTGAGCCAGCGCTACCGCGTGGCACTCGCACCATGAAGGCCAGCAAACTCCGCCCGTTTAAGGCGAAGAAAAGTGTTGGCTCGTAAGTAGAGGGACAGAAGTATTCTTTGCGGCTCTGCGACTCCATCATCGCTCTGTAAGAGATCATTCGTGGATGATGGCGACAAAGAAATGCAAGAGATGTCATCTGCCCACTCAACTTGTCGTAAAGGCTAAACGACAAGTGATAAATTGTGCGTGCCTATAATGAGCTGATGCAGCCACTATTACAGCACATACGCTAATTCGTAAAAAATGTGGTATGGTCGGTTGTGATTTCCTTAGTGCATGTGACCAAGTTCATGATGATGATCAATGGCTAATAAGAATAACAATGTCATCGTTCTGCTGCGAGTACTCCAAGCGAAATGCATGAATGGCCAACTATGCCTCACGGATTGCCTAGCGTACCAGAGACGATCATTTGTCTGAGTTTGACGATTAAGGCGACTTTGCTCCTCTGCATTAATCAATCCGAAGGATAATTTGGCTAGTTTCATGTAGAGAACGATTCGGATCTTAATAACAATATGATATACTTATCATTAGGGCTTAAGTATATGTCTTCACTAAGCCGTTTGCCACTGTCGACAAGTGTGTATTTAGCAGCTCAGAAATCCTCTTCTAGAATGCTTCATTGGACATCATGGCCTATGGGCAGATCCTGAACGGAATCAAGGCCAACATAGATTGGCCAAGCCTTCGATTCAAAGAGGCGTAACAAGTGGCTCTGCCTGGCCAGCTTTTTCCCAAGTATAGTCTGAACTATGCCGACCAGCGACTGTGAGCCACAAATTGTGAGGCCTGGCCCCGAAGTTACAAGATTGACTTACTCACTGGTCTACTCTGGTTAAGTACTGCATCGGTATGGATGCGACTGACTTGGTCATTGATTGGAGACGAAGTCGTACTCGACTATACATTAAAGTCGCGCTTTGATTATTGCGACGTCAGCCGTTTAGTGAGTTCTCTAGTTAGACAGACTAAAAGGACTGGATTACAAAGCTCAGAAAGTGGTAAAGCGACTAACTTTTCTCACTCAATGCTCTGACTAAACTATGTAATACTCAGCACTATCTTGAGAGCACAGTGCCAGAGATAAAGCTTTAACAAATGGCACTTACTGTTGTCGCTAGTGTTGCTTCAACCGTATGCAGCACACCTGAGAAGTTACACGATTAAGAGCTTTCAATATCTTGCGAACGCGATTTGCTCATCGACTGAGCTGCTTGCCCTCATCTGACGTGCCGCGCCATTCAACATCTGTCGAATCAAGTCGATCAAAGCCATTATTATCGCCTGATATAAGTGCTAGAAAACCTGCTGAATATATCATAATTATACCAACATGGCACATCTCCTAATCAACTCTTGCAATAAGAATGTAATAATGTGCTGAGCCGCAGGAGAAAAAGCGCTCTTTCAGTCTTTAAAAAATCTCTGCCGCAATTTTGGCTATCAGAATCGGCTATAGCAATCATGACTACTCAGCTCTTGTCTTTTGCTGTGGTTAACTTGAAGCAGATACGAACAAGCTCAATCGCGTTAACGCGTTTGGAGATGGCCTGCATAAGGCGTCGTTGTGCATAGCGACTACTGTCACGAAAGAATTGCACAATAGTTGTCATTCTGTGCCAAATTAACTCTCGAGGTAAGCGCCAGACAGGTCGACTTTATACGGGCTTTCGCGTCGCCTCAACCGTAGCATTTGCATGGTATGATGTTGACGGCTAATATGCCCTCAAGTAGGTGTATAGTTCGGGCGCAATATATGCTGCGCTCCCGAAAGCTTTGGGTATTCAACTGCATTGTTGCACCGCTAATTTTATTCCGAAGCTTGCTTTATTGCATGATTGAGCTACTGGACACTCACAGTGTGGTGATAATTCATATTTTACGGAACACAAAGTACTTTCTAGATAACCACCTCGAGTAGAATAGACAAACTGCTTGGCAAGCGCTATGTACTGTTCATAAATGGGAAAGTACGTATGTGTGCACGTATGGCATAATTACTGACTGCATGTATCGCCCATTTGCCATTTTGCTGGTTTGTGCAGTCCATATAATTGGACTTTATTATTGAATTTCAGAACACTCATCCAGGACTTCTGAAATTGCAAAATTTGTGGGCCGTCTGAGTAACGCCCCTCTCGTATTATAGCAATATCATTATCGGTTAGGATACAGCCGAGCTACTCTGCAACAGAGCTCCACCAACATGTCTATTGGGGGCTATAATGTCGGATCAAGTTTTCAGCGAAGGTTTGACAAGATTTGCTCGGCATCGAATTGACCAAAATCCATGTTTACCACCCAAAAAATTGACCAGATCAACCGCTTGCATTGCTCAAAAACATAAATGCGCGGAGAAACTGCGGCTCCGTAGCGATCTGATCTGCTCCCTCTCATCGAGTTTGCGAATTACAGCTCACGCTGTTCATTTCACAATATGCGTAGTGGCATCTCAAACAAACCCTGTAGCAAAGCTACAATAAGTTCAAGAGCAGCAATATAGCTTCAGGCTACCGAAGCACCCGATGCGCTGACGCAGTTCGAGAAGCGCATCCGAAATCGGTCAATCTCAGTGTTGGCAAGCACTCAATATCTCGACCCTAGCCGACGTGCGGTTATGACTTAGAGATCTCACGAGAGCCAGACGTGGATGGTTCGTCCCCCACCGACACCAAGGCGTAGCCTATTGATATGGGATCTGGTCAGCGGAACGACGGACAACAGGATTTTTTCCAGTGCCTGGTGCAGTAAGAAAGTTATCCTCGCTCTCAATACATATGGAGGTTCAGGACCCCAATTTAGCAAAATGCCTAGGTACCAATGGCGCTTTTGAACTTGCACATGATCGTCTATTGTCAGGATTCTAGTCTGAATCGCTCAGCTCAGCGTGCACCCACTAGCAAGGAAAACTCGGCCAAATTCAATTACACCTTTGATCGCTGTCTCATGAATATGAGCGGGGATGTACTTTTCGCGAATTAGAGCAAGCGTACACTCAGCTTGAGGAGTGTAACCGATACGCTCTCACCTTTTGTGTCCGTATAAAGTATGCTATGGTGCAATTGTGTTGGAGACTTTGTACACTTTGTACGATTGTGCAGAACTCGGAAGCACCGAAGGCTTACGTCGATGGGACCCAGTGACATAGAAATCCGTGGATCACATGGGCTTTTAGTCCCGCGGATGCAGTATATATCAACATAGTAAAAACACAATAGAAATAGATGTTTCTTTAATAGAAGAATAATCAAGTATTTTATGTTTTACGCAGCTACCTTTAAAGGATTTATTTGCGCAGCTACCTTTGAAAGATTTATTTGCGCCTTGATGAAGCGTACAAAGCTATTATTTGTGCATGTTCTCGCGTCAAATAAACCGATTTTGTGCAATGTACACAAAGAATTTGTTAGATAAGCTCTAACAAGATGAATATCACAATAAAGTCACTCATAAATGATTGACTAACTATAATAACAGAAAAATGACTTCTGGGTTCCTGTGGCCATGGCCATACAGGCTTTGTTCGGTTAGGAAGGCGACGCGAGATCAGAGTAATGAAGTCCAAGAGACCAATAGACCTTTGGCTCACCACTTTCATCTTTTCAAAAGACTATACGCATTATTAATCTTCGCTGATTGAATCTTTACCAAGGATTTTGTGACCTTGACGTTCATGGTCACGTTCTCGTGAGCTTCACAAGCGAAGATCACCCCGAATGAACAGGACCCAGCTTAACATAAATGATTAGTTTGTCGACACACAGCGACCTAATTTACACAGGAAGACCGAGACAATTCGTTTTTCTCCATAACACTTTAACGCGAGACGCACTGATACAGCTCTCATGCATCTCAATGACTTTGCGTATTCGTTTCAAATATCAACAACAGTCCAACACATTTTGTTCCATTGTTTCACATAAACCTGTCAAGTTGATGACAACATGAACAAATTTTATAAAGCGTCAGCTAGATCCCGTTAACTTTGACCCCCACAAGGCAAACAGACCTTAGAATTCTACCAGCCAGCACCCTGCGCTCATTGGGACTCGATGTCTTTCGAGAAGGATCTGTCAGTCGACGCTGCGAGGTAAATGCGTCTTTTTGAACTTTGTAATCGGGAGAGTGATGACACGTATACTTTAAATGTGTGACAGAAATGTTTCAACCAAACGCCTTCTTTATACTTAATTTTTAAGGACCCAAGACGATCGTAATCGCCCGTAAGCTTACCACATCGTGTAGCAACTTCGCGACTCCTAGTTTTGCGAATTGAAAATTGTTTACCACTTCTAATACGGTCACAAAAATATATGAGGGGACACAGAAGCTTTGATGCAAACCGTAACTGTTTGGAGACTTTGCATAGAGATGGTAAGTACTATTGCCTCCGTGATGGGTCTGTCGCCATCACGGCGATTATTTTCTCTGCCACTCTTGTCAAAGAATAGACAACAGACAGTCAACGCACTCAATGCGCCTGGTTAGGCGAAGCGGGCACCCGCGACATTTGTCGCTGGAATGCATCGTTTGGAGACTTAGTGCACGAGCGAGCCCCTTTTCTCTTGCTGCCTTTTAGCTTGGCGACCATTAGTGCGATGGGCTATTCGCTCGTCTGGAGCATGACCTAGATCGAGGCACTACCACCTCATTTTAGATTCTACCCGTCCTATCTCTAGAAGAGTGGATGATTTAGCAGCAATAGCCCCACGTTAAGAGCTGGTTGTGCTTCCACCGATGCCTGACTGGGGCAATCCTGGATGTGGGACTTGCGCTTTTTATCGCAAATTGGCATCACCAGGTGGGCATTTACCGTTTGCGTCCCTTGGACCGCTTACTACCTCATCCCTTCGAGACGACGGTAGACATGAGCTTTTTAAGCTCGTCTTGCTGTTCCGAGGGCAGAGAATTAAACAATTTGTTTGCTATCTGTATAGAGATATGGTATGATAAGAATCGAACGTCGAATCGACGGCAAGCGCTACCAAGTGCAATGGAGATGCCGTGTGCTAAACGCATACAGTATGGACTACTACACCTAACCATGGAGTAAAAGCGAGAGTCTTTCAAGTTAATCTGCACTTTCTTGCTCTTATCTTTTTACAAATGCGATCTATTCAGTCTTAAGTCTGCTCGAGGTTAATACTGAAAATTCCAGATTTCTCATGTTCGCTTACTACAATATATCCACTGCATAATGCGAGGTAACAACCGCATGCCCCAGAAACGTAACTATTATCAAGCCCAACGTCTCTTCGGAACCAAATGTTTGATTCTGAAGGATTCACACAACTACATAAAAGTGCAATGTGCACGTGCACGCTAGTACGTACGTACCTTATTATGAACAGCTTACGATTCCCACGGACCTCTCCTTGTCATTATGCTATCTTCCTAATCTATACCGAGTATTGATTATGATGATACTTCATCATGGTACTTCATAATGGTACTTTTTCATTCCGGTGGCAGCTTTGTAAAGTGGATATACCTTATTACAGTATTACTGCGCTTTGAATTCGAATGACCCAACAGGGTAGACATAATTGGTAATAGCTTTTCTTCTCAAGTACGACGTAGTGGACTGCTTTATGCCTTTCTTTTCAAATGTTTATTTACTTTATGCAATATCACTTATATCAAAAATACTAAAACAGAGTAGTATAGTACTCTGAAAATATTACTGGATCCGGGCTCCCGCCTTTCAGTAGCATTTCCCCCCGTACACTATTACCGCGACAACCATGATGATACAAGAAGCTGCAAAATCAACCGACCCAATTTACAACGAATCTTTCGATCAATATGGTATCCCGCTATCCGTTGGCCACAGTGCACAAACGGATCTTCCCGTTTGGCAGTACATACATAAGCTAGCCACTCCTATTCCAAACCCTAAAAGTGCCGATCGCTTGTTCACTCACATTTGCGTCCTGTGCTCGGCCTCTCCTCCTTTGCGTCCTACGAGTAAGCGAGTCATCACATGGCGCAATGCTTTAATGCGCCAACGGATGTCTACGAATGCTGTAGCACACTTGCAACGTGTACATCCGGATGAGTTCGGTGCAATTGCTGAATATAAGCAACGCAAACGCGAAGCATTGGCAGACAAGGCTACGAAAAAGGAAGGACAATCTCACTCAAAAAAGGCAAAGATTACGTCAATTCCAAAGCGAAAGATCTCAGTTGATCGCCAAGTTGATGTGAAGCAAGAGACTGAGTCTTTAGATACAGCTCTAGTGCCTAAGACTCAGAGAACGACAGCGTTGTCTCGCAAACGCAAGACAACAGATCTTATCAAGACTTGGCTCATTTCATCAGGTTTGCCTATCTCCGTGCTTCAAAACGAAGCTTTACAACATCTTCTAAAACTTGCAACTTCGCTTCCCTCTGTCTTACCAACTGTGCTTGATCTAAATGCGCAAGTACACGAAGAGTTTTTAACATTTCGCTCTCTATTGGAATCTTACCTTGCTTTCGAGTATCAAGCTGCTATGAAGTTGCCATTCTTGTCGTTCCATCATGCATATCGACCAATGAGTGGTGCTACTGCTGCTCATCGTGTGTCTTCGGAGTCCAATAAAATGCTTGGCAAAGCGTTTTTTGATGTCTCAGTTGGATTTATTGATTCCAGGTGGCGCAAGGTGGATTTAATGCTCGCGTCTAGACAAGTACCAAATGACTGGAACGAGCAACTAACGGAACGTGTGATAGAGATTATATCAACGGCCTATAACATTCAACCGCTTTCACATTATACACGTTTTCATATAGGTGCTGTCAATAACTTTGCTGCAGAAAAGGAAGAAGACGGTCATTTAATTGACGATGAGGACGTGTTGACGCACACTTTGCGTCATTGTGTAATGAATGCTCTAGAAGTCAGTGCTGAAAGTTGCTTGGGTGAAGAATCAACCGTTCGTCGCGTCTTGCGATTACTACAAGAGCTAGCAAATAGTTTTAAAGAGCCGGAGCGAGCGTCTGTGATTGCCGAAAGTGGTGGTACTAGTAACTTTCTATCTCCAGCTATCTCAGTCGATACGCTTGCGCTCTCTTCACTGACATCGATCGGTGCAATTGCTGAGCTCTTGCGTGTAAGCTGCTCGCGGTACCACACTTACTGGCAATACTATCAGTCACATGACAAATTAACCGATGAAATATGGACGCAGCTTTCATTGGATGACTGGCATACTGTTACAGAAATTGAAGCACTTTTAAATCATTTAGTACAATTTCGTCTTGAAGAGCGCACCCCGTTAAGACCAGGAGCAGTTGCTTCGTCATACGTACTGCTATTCCGGCGCTTGCTGTCAGTCACTGTGAATGCTTCCAGCTTCAAGTGCTTTTGTCTTGAAGACGAAAATACAGCAAATTTGTCTCCCACGACGCGTTCTATGCGTCGCAAGGCTAAGCGTGTGGACACATTTACTGTCGCTGGTCGACAATGTATCGAGCGACTCAAACAACTTATCACACAACAATTTACAACGTCAGATCCATCTGAAGTTGATGATGAAATCAAAGCTATGCTTTTAGATCCTCGTATCAGTGCTAAAGCGATCACTTTGGTCAACGATACTCAAGTTTTTCACCGCGCTGAAGAAGCTCTACGCCAGGAACATCAGGTTGTGTTTCAATTGCTTGCCAGACCATACGGTACTAGCGGATGTAATGAAGACGACGACGAGGAAGACGATGAAATAAGTTCACTTTTGATGGTTGATGGACCAAAGAATCAACCTGCTCCTACGTCACCTACCAATACTGAAAGACGATCAAAGGACGCTGTTGTGGAAGAAGAAGCTCGTGCTTGGCAAGAATGGCAACAAGTGTATGTAGCATGGGATACGATTGCAGACAAGGGTGCAGATTTGTTTGATAAGGGCCAGTACAATTTACTCAAATTGTACCACCACGTGAATATCCTCAAGTGGTTTCGTGATGTTGGACAGCAGACACATCCAGCGGCGGCATTACTTGCTCGTATATATCTTGGCAAGCAATTGTTTTCATCTCCCTCTTCGAAATTGTTGATGTCGCGATTTATGAGACAAGAAGAGGCTAATTGGGTGGATGAAGTTGCTCAACGCGCGGAAAAACGCTGTGTTCTTTACCATAATTGGCATCATATTCAGCAACTCCATGCAGAAGTAGAACCTCGTCCACCTACTGAAGAACATGTTTACACTGGGATTGTTTGAATACGACAATCAGAATATTAGTGTCGTGCTTAAGTATAAATTGAAGTTAATTTTATATCGTAAAAGTCATATAAACGAAATAGTAACCTTGATAAATACATAACCGGTAACCTCACTTCACTAAGGATTCTAGAACGTCTCTTCATACAATCTTGACTTGCCTCCTTAAATGAGAAAAGCCCAGCAACCGCCTGTCGTCGATCTTACAGCAGAAGACGATATCTCGGAGGAGCCAAATCGGATGGAAGCTCATTTAGAATCAGACGATTATTTTGAAGTGTTGAATTTACCGCGTTCAGCCTCGGCGTCAGATGTGAAGCGCGCATATAGAAAATTGGCCGTACAGTGGCATCCAGACAAAAATCGGTCCAATTTACGTGCAGAGGAAATTTTTAAGCGTATTGGTGAAGCTTACGAAGTACTAAGCGATCCAAAGAAGAGAAAAATTTATACTGAATACGGCAAAGCAGGTCTTAATGGAGGTCCAGGTGCTTCAGATCCCAATGATCGTTTTGGACACCGACATCATGGAAATTTCTCGTCTCAACATGCGCGGGATATTTTTGATGCCTTTTTTGGGGGTCAGGATCCATTCGAAGCATTTTTTGGCCAACGCAGAGGGTCAACAAAGCGTAACGGGCGCTTTGATGATGACTTCTTTGGGTCTATGGGCTTTGGTGGGATGGGAATGGGTCGGGAATTTGGACATATGGGTATGCCTATGATGGGTCTTGGCAGGGGATTTGGAAATATGGGCATGGATTCTTTTTTTAGCGATGAGTTTACCACAATGAACGGATCCGGTACGACGTTTTCGACGAGTTCTAGCTCATCCTCGTCGACTTTTACAGATCGAAATGGTCACGTGATTACACAGAAAACAATCACGACCACAGGTGCAGATGGACAAACAAAGACTACAACAGAGGAATATCGCGATGGCACATTGGTGAACTCCTCGTCGACATGTGGAAATCGTTTGGCAGATGCAGGTCGAAAGCAACTCGAAGGTGGCAACCGTCACGGATCTCGTCCGAAGTATTAAGCGCAGGCAAACGATGAAGGTGGCTGCGAGATTGAATTGTAGGTAGCCATAATTTTGAGTGCCTACATTGTGTTTTTTGATACGCTTGATGCACCACGAGTGTTTTCTTAATCTTTATGCAATGAAAGTCTGGAAAATCTTGTAGGATGAAAGATAAGGGATACACTCTAATTTACAATTTATGAAAAGTTTAGGCGAAGATTTTGGTGTTTAACAGTTATTGAAAGTTGCGGTGTGGTGCTGGATAGACTGTTGTAAATAAAGTCAGGCGTGACGCTTCCTCAAGCTATCAACAATTGGTTGTAACAACAAAATATTTTTCTGCAGACCACGGCTAACCACAACACTTCTGTTTTGCTCGACACTTTCAATGAAATCAAAAGTCTGTTGTAGATACGTTCTTGCACCAAACGGACCTAAGTTAAAGAAACATGCCAGTATAAATACGGTTTTAACGGATCTTATCTATAAAGTGGGTTCACGACTCGCCAAAGCTCCGCCAGGTTTTGACCTTCAGTCAATCCACGGTTGTTGGCGCTCTAGCCACGCCGCACCACTGCGTCGCGAGTTAAGCTGATGTTGCATCCATATTTGCATTTAAATGCAACCGTGTATGGCAGCCGTCGTTCATCGCGCGTGACAACACGACTATATTCATAATACCATAACGTTTCACAATTTCTCGTTGAACAATCCCATGCTTGGGGCCCTCCTCTTATAGATAGACCAGAAGTGGGTCCCGCTATCCTCAACATGAGGCACAACAATACCTAATTAAATCTCAGTAGGCTGATGGGGATCTTTCTTTCCCGCGAGGGGCCTGTCAGTCTACCCTGTGTCGGAGCTTGAGCTTTCGAACCACTTAATCGAAAGAGAAGATGGTATGAAGGCTCAAGCTTACACGCAAGGTAGACTGACAGGCCTCTCCAGTGGCATAAATGTGTTATACTGCCGCAGATACTACAACTGTAAGTGCCACGATGCTGCTTACGAGCTATTAGGCAAGCTCTTTTCTTCTCATCCTGGATGAGGCCTGTCTCCAAATGGTGCCTACACCTTCGGCTATCTGACTGACCCACAAGATTCAAATGCGACACAACTAATTCCTTAATGGTTATATGGATGACGATGGACTAGATGCAAATCGGACCTGTCGTAAAGATAGGAGCTGTTATCTTATTCAGATAGAGTTGCCGTGACTATTTCACAGAGGAAGCTTTGCACAAAGGGCTGGTGCACTTTTACAAAGAGCAAAACCATCGTCAATAAAACTATCACTGTATGTTTGTCAGTCATCCCAAGTCATATTCTTGCCCTTCTTTATCGACAGTAAGTGTATCTACACTCCGCTGTTGCATCAACGACGCTGTCTAACTTATTACTAAGGAAGTGAACCTGGCTTGGAGAGCAAAGCTTACTTTTGCTGTAACCGCAAGTAATACGTTGGACCCTGATCAATCCATCTTTTGCTTGCGATTTAACCGTTTGAAGTCGGTCGCCGAGCTTTCCTGAGCTTATTCACGCATATCCGTGTCGGCTTCCACTCACGCCCAGAACGAAACGATAGCGAAAAGTCACACCGCGAGCGCTTTCTAATACCACAAGCCATTATTCTTAAGGTGTACCTTGTGCGCTTAAATTAACAGCGGCTGGAGAGAACTGATTCCTCCATGACAAATTAGTTTTAGGTTGAGCGAGTGTCAGATCATGAGCGGGCGCCATGTCTTGAGCGGCTATGATACCAGATCTCCCCGAAATGTACCTCACACTACCACAAATCTTCAACTGAGGATAAAACTTCAACCGCAACAAGTAATAACAACAGTTCATGCAAACTCTTGTGAAATTTGGCCACCATTTGCTTATCGAGTGGTACCAGCGAAGTTCGACATCTAGCACCCGTCTCTCGTGAGCTCTCGATTCAATCTGGCGAGCTTTCTCGGTTGTGAAGGCATGCTGACTCTCTTCGACAGCCGCGACTCGTGTCCGGGGCTGAATTCAGTTAGACCTTGGATTTGCTCTCTGAACTTTGTCGCCACACTGCTTGGATTGAGGCATCTCCAGCATTAGACTCTTTGCACCTGACTAGCTCATAAGAGCGGGATCATGGGCTGACTATAGTTTTACTACTACTATGAAAGGCCATAAACCAGCTCATTTAAAAATTGGCTTTATAAACCGCAAAAACCGCATTTATTGGTAGCTTGATTGCATTCAAGAAAATCTTTTGCTCTACAATGTATTCGTGTGTGTGTCTTGCCTGCATTTGGTATCTGCATATTTTTTTGTGTTCTTAGATCTTTCGGAGGCAGCGGATTGTGATCTGCTGTACTCGTACTGGTTCTAATGAAGATCGTAATGTCGGTGACCTTAGGTTAGCTTAGCTTGCTCTAAGCAAAGAGCTATGGCAGTCCCACTGCAGGTAGCCATTGTATCGGTTAAAACTTCCGCTTTTTAGCGAGGTTTTAGCAAGCACTACTTAAGGTGTTCCCACCAGATTGGATATACTAGCCGCTAACCATTAGCGCGGATAGTCAGGCGAAACACATGAATCGATTATCGAAGGAGCACTGAAACACTTGCAAATAGAGGCCGCAATACAAGAGCAAATTTCTCCCACAAATTGAGCTTTGTTGAATATCACACTACTGGCATCTACAGGCTTCACCTCGTTTCACAAATTATTGTTTGGTAAAATCTCAAGTGCCTTTGGCATCGCCAAAAAGTGAATCCGGTTGATTGCGAAGGGGCCGTCGATCAAAATCGACTTGCTGATATCAATCCGGCTACACCTCTTAGCAAATCCAGTGAATGTAAATGAGTTTGAACATTATGCTCAGGCTTCGCGAAGTTGTGGCCAAGACTCAACCAAGGTAAGTGGACTCTTCCGTTCAAAATTCAAACTGTATTTAATTGTTTTAGTTGCGGCAGAGCCTGATTAATATAGTAATACATAATTAAAATAGTAAAACCTAATCAATATAGTCATATGCATTACTACTGGCAAACCTACCACGTTGGTGGCTTCTTGTTACTGTGTAGCTACACCATTGCGTGATTACACTTATTTGTATAATCAACAGGTATGTACGGTCACACCATCTTGTGCGACCCGTCTTTTCATACAAGGTGTAACGGTGTTACACGTGCCACGTAACCCACTGAGCACTGCTCACGTTACAAAGCAATGGCTGCATGCCAAGAATGGCATGGGACGAGGTCCGAGGCATCAAGGGCGAGGCCCTTGTGATGCGCGCGGAGTGGCACGTGATCTATTGAATACTGCTCGCGTTTCAAAGCTGTTGCTGCATGCCAAGATTGGCATTCTCGAACGAGGCCCGAGACATTCTGAGCAAGGCCCTTCTGATGCACGTGGATTGGCTGGACGAAGACTGCGGGAATAGCAGCTTTTCGTAGGATGTTGTGAATCACATTAAGACTTCGATGGTGCGGGGAAGGAACCCTGGACGACGCCGGGTGCATGTATCCACTTCCCTCGGTGAGACGTAAAATCTCTATAGAGAGGAGACGGCGGGCCGTATGATACCTGCAAGACGCAGGGCGTCGACCCTGCCCCAGCGTGTGACTACTAGACGATAGCGCACAGCTATATAGCCTTGTCAACGGTATGACGGGAAAGAAAGACGGCGACGTCACCCTCGAGGCTATTCCTGCGGTGGATGCTTTTTTTGAGCTAGACGAAATGTCCTTCGAAGAGTTTGGCGGTGCCTTGAATGCAGGATATTCTGCCAAAGTGGACATTATGAGACCGAACGAGAAGATTAATCGTCATCGCCTCTGGATGCAGCTGTCCTGGAGGACACTAAGAGGGCGCTGAACGCACGAAGTGGATTGTCGATCCTGTAGAATCCTTCGGATTCGTATTTATCCGTAGGTAAAGAAATCCCAAGACATCGTCGTCGGTCCTAACATCGGACTGAGGTGTGCGTCATTAGATCGACCTGATTCCGGGAGCCAAATACTGCGTGACACGGCCATGACCCCTGCCCAAGGAGCAGTGTGACGTCATTGACGCCTTTTCCGTGCGAATTACGACGCAGGAATGGTGCATGAGAGCAAGTCTTCCCATCCGACACCCACGTTCTGTGTTCGGAAACGAACGGCAAGTGGTGTATCGCTCACGCATACACTATGCTAACCGCTGCCACCATCCCGGCACAGACTCCAATTACTAGAAAGAATGTTCTCCAGAACAATTTGGTTGGCTGTACAAAGTACAGTGCACTCAACTTGGTCGATAGTTATTACCAATTGCTCATGTGAGCGAGAAGTCAAAGGCAACCTCCTTTGCAATGGGACAGCCGCAGCTTAGCGCTTGAGGAAGTGTCATTTAGGTCACCGATCTTTCGTTCTATACTTAGAACAAGTACGAGTTAGCGGATCGCAATACACATACTCCAAGAGTAATCATTGCCCTACCCAAGGCTAATTCGATCTTCCGTTTGAAATCCAAAACTGATTTTTATGGCTAGACCGCCTAATTTTAAATGCATAGATTTTCCTAAATGTACAAAGAAAAATCTTGATACATGTATAACTACTGGCTATTTAGCCGTGTACCGTATACTTATTTGGGTGTTTCACACCATGCCCATCAGGTGTGACACACACCCCTGTTACCAGGGTATGTGTAACCCCGTTACATTCTTCATGCACCAATACTGGCGTTGCCAGACCCCGATCGTCTTTAGCAGACGCCCGGGGGGCGTGATCGGATGATCGCGTTCGATTCTCGCCAGCTTAGGGTAACGGAGAGGAACTACTATATAGTCCAAGAAAAGAATAAGTTGTGACAAAGTGTGCACTTGTCACGTTCAAGGTGCAACTGCTTTGCTCAAATCCATTAATGATCGACACTGATCATGCGTCATTACGCACTGCGATTCAGTCGCCTGGACGGTCAGGTGGCTTCCATTATTTGCAGAGTATAACTTCGATGTATAGTTTAAGCCAGGAAAGAAGACTGCTCTGACTGATGCATTTTCACGCAGACCAGACAATGAACTTGCTCATATCACGACGGTGACGTCGTCAGTGACGAATTTGATTCTAGACGTATACGCGGGCGATAGTGTGTGTGTAGCGCTGCTACAGGCTCTCGGGAGCTAGGAGTCTAAAACCTCGGACAAGAAGTTGTCGGCGCGTTTGCGCGCACGGTTACACCGATATTGATTGAGTAACAAGTTGCTGTACTATACCGCCGATTCAACAGACAGGCTTCGAAGTGTAGTCTCTCACGATGAAGATTTGAGATACCGCATCTTCTATGAGACCCACGACATCCCACTCACTGGTCATCTTGGTCGTGAGATGACGTACAGCTCTGTGAGTTGCCACTTTTGGTGGTCCAAACAATAAAAATGGACAAGCACTTATGTGCGAACGTGTGAGACGTGTCAGAGGGTTGATACCCTCTCCGAACGCGATGGCCAGTTTACCGGTACCCTCCAGGTGTTGGCAGTCCATGAGTATGGACTTTGTGTTTGGCCTGCCGAAGAATTCGGAGGACAACACGGATATGGTGATTTTTGTGAACTGCTTGAGCAAGATGGATCATCTTGCGGCTGTGTCGGACACCATTGACGGTTCGGGTAGAGCGACGCTGTATGTCAATCGTGTCTTTTGACAGCATGGGCTCCTGGAGTCAATTATCTCAGTGCATTTATCTACCGGCAATACGTCGATCTACGTAACCGGGCTTATTAATCTCTGCGTCCCGCTGACACCGTTAATTCATGGCTCAGAGCTTGGTGGGGGAGGAATAGCCGAACGGCTTGCTGATGTCAACCCCTTCACCGTGCGTAGGAAGTCAGAGATTTCCTGTTTACTAGACTGAGTGTCTTACGACACGTTAGTGATGCGATGGCTGAAAGCCAAGAATTGCAGAAGGCCACTCCGAATAACTAAACTGATTGATCGATTGAATGAGGCTATAAATATCAAAAGTCCGACTTCTATTCGTGAGATTGATTCTATCTGCGGCTCCAGTAATACCACCACTTGCTGAAAGTCTGCATATTCGACTTATAATTGCTGCTTTTGCATTTTCTCTGACTGGATGGTAAGCGACAGGTATCGAGTAAATTCGGAAACTGATACCATTTGTGTCTGACATAAAGAAAAGTTAGCCAGTTATTAAACGGTCTCGACTTTCGGTACGATACCTGAACGAAGGAAGCGTGTGCTTGAAAAGGCAGCTTGCGAAGTGCTCGACCACTAAAGCCTTCAGCTGAGTCTGCAGTTTGCATTAAATTAAGTGACAAGACAAAGTCTTCGTTGTTATCTTCAGCTTCCTCTGCAAGACTCGTCTTTTCATTCATCAAGCCCTTTCGTGACGCCGTTTTTCTTGTGAGCTCTTCGAATGACATTAGGCTTTGTGAACTTGGCAAGAGAAGATTTACACGTTGCAGTTCATGAATACAGCTCCGCAATATCTCATACCGGGCATGACACGTTGGGAGTCCGATAAACCTAAACAGAGAAAGATATTTAGCTCTATCACCTTTTCTTTTAAAAAAAATCTTACTGCTTGATGTCGGCTCGGTCAATAAAAGCGACATCAATAGCTTCAGTGATATTTGAGGTGGTCAGAATGAGTACATTAGAGTGCCGCTTTAGAGAATCCAACTGTGTCAATAATGCGTTAACTACGCGAATAGCGTCGGATGGATCTGAGCCGCTTGCTGCAGACTTTCGAGCTGCCGCAAGTGACTCTACTTCATCTAAATGCACGAACTAGCACAGTGACGCAAGATAAGGACTTGTTGTTCGTGACATGACGTACCGATCAAAACGCAAATCAATGCCTCGTCATCTTCCACAAGTTCCTGAATCTGACAAAAGAGCTTCATCACGAGTTTTCCGCTCTCGGAAAACCACTGTAGTGCATTTTATAAGTTTAATTATTAAAATATTGTTTAGCAGTAGATGTTATACCTTGCTAAACAAACTGTGCGCATTCACCTCCAACAGAACCGCGTTTGGATATCTAGCATTATAACAATTAGAGCCCAAATGCTTCTCTTCTTTCGAGTGCGCTACGAACCTAGAGGAGAGACGGATGCTCAGCTTTTGAGCCAATGCCTTGCACAAACTAGTCTTTCCAGTTCCTGGTGGGCCATGCAGTAGCACAACTCGATTCCATGAAATGATGTGCGAATTCACTTTATGATCCGAAAACAGCATGGCCGTCATAGCATAGTCCAAGATATTTTTTTTCACTGGTGTGTCAAAAATAAGCGACTCCCAAAGTCCGTCATAATTTGCAGCAGGAAGAATTGTTTGCTGACAAGTTGCAACGTCCTCGTTATCCATAGTCTCTTCCGCAGGGACTTCCTAATGAACATCTTTAGTACCTTATTTGTGTGTCATCTGCTAATTTCGAAAGCCACGTACATCACATAGTTTATATACGTGCACGTACAAATGAGCTTTTGCTCGTAAAATTCCGGACCCGCTAGCCTCCTCGCCTTCAAGTTCCGTCACGATGATCCGCTTAACGTGGGCTGTAAGTGGGGATCCAAGAGGTAAAGATACAGAACCTGTGCGATATATAATATCATTACTGAATTATAAACCGAAATGCATCAAGCGATCAAAGTACCAATAGAAAAGAGCGAACAAGAGGCGCCGAGGTATTCTGCGACGGCAGTACTCAATTGTTTGTAATCAGCAACGCTTTCCTGTTTGACACACACTTCAACTGTACAGAAGTTAATAAATCACCAGAAAAGAGAAAGCGATACACTTTGTGGTGAAACGCACCATGGACATGGCCGAATTCCATCACCTATCGACTATCGTAACTTGTAATGATGCGCATTGTGTGGCAAAACATCGATATTACACAACTAACATACTTGCTCGATTAAAGCGCTCTTTTTATTAGTGCGCCCGGCGTACGCTGCACCTAATAAAACGCCCTCCTTAATAGAGCGCTCTAGCGGTGTTTTGTCAACAGCCTCTAGCTATTTGAAAGAAAGCGCTCGCACAGGTATCGTCATATGGGAGAAAATCAACGAAAGAGACTGGTGGCTGGTTGATGAAGGTTATTGACGCAATCAATTCTCGTTCCGTCGGGTAACAAATTTGGTCATTTTATTTGATGGTGTCCAAGTAAATCGTGCTTTTGAGTGCATGAATTATCAACATCATCTGGCGTTTCTTCCAACATAATGCATTGCATCGGATACAGCCGAAGAACGTCACGTTCTGCTGAAAACCACTGAGTTTACTTCTATGAGAATGACTACATGATACATCGCCGCCAATGATATGTCGATTCGTTGGAGTTAAAATTGCCGTCAAAGTCGATGACATTAAAGTGATGCCCCTGGTGATAATCAAGGGAACGATTCGCCTATTCTAAGGAAATATGTCATTAGGGTTGTCTAGAAAAGCAAGGCCTGGTTAACAAAGGCTTAGTGCATTGATAAATGGAGCATATATTTTTGCGCGTCGCAGGCGCGTCTCAGCGAAAAATGTGGGATTCGTGCAGGGTAGACCTTTTAAACGATTTTAAGGACTACATGAAGCATTAAAAATTCCCTGACATTCCCGGAGGCTGAACTCAATACGTTCATCAAATCGCTTCAAAACTGGTTGGCGGAATCACTGTAAAACTGTGATTCAGAAATCTATGGCATTCATGACGATTTTTAGGATTGGCATATCACCCAACAGAATGATGATGAGCTGTGATTCAGAACTATGGATAGAAAACCGAAGTGAATCTGTATATTATTTTGAATCCAAGATTTTTTGGACAATAATGAAAGCACCTCTTTCTTAAAATGCGCCCTTTCTTGCTTGTCCTTTACTTAGTGGCCATATTTATTCCTTATTCTTAACTCTATGTACGTACTCAACTTTGGTATGCACAACGAAATTTCGCAGATCCTTCTGTACGGCACACAACAGTCGCATTAAGTTGAGATCACACATATTATTACATCATGGTACCCACAATGCACCGTCTTGATGGCAATCGTATTGCTGCCAACACTCCATTGGATCTCAGCAATTTGCGATCTCACAAGGAAAAACGTACATTAAAACGTGACAAAGCTCGTTTGAAACGTTCACAGGCATCTTCACAATTGCACAATAACGAATCTGAAATCTCCAATAACCCCAAACGAACTCCTATAATCTTTGCCACATCACAGCAAAGTCGCTTTCACACTGTAACATTTGACGAGTTTGGCAAAAATGTTCTACTGAATCAATTTACACTCGCTATTGGGACCTCGTCATCCGATGCATCTATCAACGAAGCTGGGGTTGTTGAACTTCTGCGAGACACGCAACTAAAGCTCAATTACGGCACACGCTATGGACTTGTTGGACCCAACGGTATCGGCAAGTCAACGCTTCTTACAGCACTAGCAGACGGCATAGTTGAAGGACTTCCATCGGCATTAAAAGTTTTGTACGTCAACCAATTGGACATATCGTCATTGACGTCAGAGTCGGCAATGCAGTCGGTCGTACAGACAGTGTTAAGTGCTGATACGCGAGTGAAAAAGCTACATATGAAGATCACTCTATTGCAAAACGCGTTATCAGATTCTACAATTTTAGACAGCGGTGTAAAGAAGTTTTCAACTTTCAAGGCTCAGTTGTTGCATGCCTTGCTGTCAGTTCAAGTGATGGAGGCCGAGGAAGCAGAGAAACTTGCTAGAAAAATTGCTATAAAGCGCAGTGGCAAACTTGGTAAGATTGCTAGATTACAACTAGTGGAAGCTGAACACAAGACGGCAAGTTTACAGCAAAGGCTCAAGTATACACTTTTAGACGATGGAAATCATGAAAGCGTAATCACGGCACACGAGACAGACATTCTACATGAAATTCATTTAAAAATAAACGATTATCAGCAAGAGCTAGAAATACTGGACGAGACATCGATGGAGGCACGTGCACGTCGCATTTTATCGAGCATGAGCATTGATTCCGCGAAGCAAGACGCCCCTTTGTCGTCACTCAGTGGTGGCTGGCAAGTGCGTATACTCTTGGCACGGGTGCTGTTCATGGAGCCCGACTTTTTGCTGCTTGATGAGCCGACAAATCACTTAGATATGCCTTCAATCTTGTGGCTGACGAACTACCTTCTCACATTAGGCGACGTGCTTCGGACTACGATCACGCTTGTCGTCGTATCCCACGACCGAATGTTTCTCAACACAGTGACGGAAGAAACAATATTTTTTCGCGGATACGACAAAACTTTGGCGTATTTTGAAGGTAACTACGATACGTTTGAGCGATCGATTGCCAGCAAGCGGCAATTCAATGCTCGTCTTCAAGCCAAATTGGACAAAAAAACCGAACTAATGAGCGATATGGTCTCAAAATTAAGTCAGCAAGCAACACGAGCTAGAGACGACAAGAAGTTGCACGTTGCAGCCTCAAAAAAAACAAAAATGAACCGAATTGGTCTCGAACGAAGTGCAAAAGGGACACGATTCAAATTAAACCGAGACCGCGCAGGATATCATCTCACCGATCGCGATCAGGCTGAAGATCAAGCCAAGTACGATGAGACTGATGGAAGCTATAGTGGTTGCTCCGCGTGGCGCATGCTATCGTTCAGTCCGCCTCAGATCCGAAACCTTACCAAGCTGGACAATACGACTATGATTTCATTTAAAAATATTTCGTTTCGATACCAAACACAAGAATTAGAGAAGACCAGAGTGCCATTTGTGAGCAATCTTAATATCAACATCAATTTTGGTGATAAAGTCGTACTTGTGGGTCGGAATGGTTCGGGCAAAACGACTATCATGAAACTACTCAGCAGGACTTTGAAGCCAGAAAGTGGCCAGGTTGAGTATTTCCACGGAGCTCGGATCGCTTCATTGATGCAGCATGACGTCGAACACCTGAAGCGTCAAGAATGGTCTCGAGATCTTACTCCATTGAAGCTGCTGCGTACAAAGCTGAAACTGGATCAAGCAGGACTATTGGCAGAGTTTGAAGGTGGTAACATTTCTGTGAGTGATGGCAATATACGTGGCCATTTAAGTACTTTTGGCATCAGTGGAGAAACTGTTGCTGCAGTTCCTATTCACTCTCTCTCTGGTGGTCAATTGGTCCGTGTCTGTTTAGCATATGCTACTTTTCCATTCCCTCCTCATGTTTTGCTTCTTGATGAACCCACAAATCATTTGGATATGAACACAATTCAATATTTGGGAGAGGCTCTTCGAAAATATAAAGGAGCGGTGGTACTCATATCGCACGACTTGCATTTTCTCAACATCGTTACGAACAAAAGCGAGGTTTTGAACGGGGATCATGTTCAAGAGGATCAAGCGTGCGGTCGAGTACGTGTATATGAGGTGGAAAAGAAGAAGAGTGTGGTGACTCTCGAACCTTTGAAGGATGTGGAAGTATACAAAGAAAAGGAAGCGAGGCTTATGCGCTTGCTAAGTCGCTTTTAAAGTTATATGAGTCAAGTGTTCACTTGATTGATCTAAGATTGGATCTGAATGATTTTTTTATATGAGCTGTCTCCTCTTCTCCAAAATTATAAGTTGCAGTTCCCATACTGTAACCGAGGATTGAGTTACTGGTCTTTATTGCAGTTGAATTCTGTGGACAATAAACAACTAGAAGTCACGTTTCTTGCGCTATTTTTGACTAGCATCTTCGTCATCTGAGGAGGGATTTTTACTTACCAAATCCGCAAATTATAACGATGCATTTCTCAACTGTTCGACAAACGTACAAGTCATAATGTCAAACGACCATCTTGATTCATGGACGTGCCCATGCTGTACCTTAACGAACAATTTCATTTCCAAAGCATGTGCCGCCTGTCAGGCTACCAATCCGCTTGTTCTCCGAAGCTTTGAAGCTGAAGAACAAGTTCTTGCGGCAAAAAGATCTATTGCAGATGGTAAGGAATTGGAACGTGCTAGTCAGACATCACAAAATTTCGTGAGTGTTACATCTTTACGAGACAGCAAGGACGAAATAGACCCATGGGTTCAAGCTGAATGTGAATGGGCTCATATCGAGTCGAGCCAAAACGTACGAAAGAGTACGCAGCCACTCTAGAATGTGTTATCCATCCGTTATCTATCCCAGCTACATCAATGGATGGGAGACAAAGTAAGTAGTAAAAGTCGAGAGCCACTAATTTTTAAGCGGGTATTCAAGAGCGTTTATATTTTGGAGTTAGTGTCTTGCTGTACATGCGGATGATCGACGCAAGCATCGTGAATCCAGAGATGCCCACAATAGCTGCAGTCTTCCACCACGCATAGTCAGTCGCGCGTTTTATATCCTCTTTTGTGCAGCCTTCAGGCAGACTCATGCCGTCGATCAGACTGGCTTCCATCACACTGGAGTTTCCCTTGCATTTCTCGACCATCGTCGATGGATTTAACGACATGAATCCGTAAAGAAGTAGACATATTATAGCGAGAACAAAGGCAACGCGTTTAGCAAATAATGTCATGTCGATCTGGCGATCCAATTCAGTGCCCGCGTGACGGTACACTACCACACGCAGCTTTTCTAGTGTAAAGTCCGCGTGTGTACCTTTATCAGTAATTGGTAAACAGCACAATTCATGTGATGATGACACAACCACTTGCCACGTTGGACCATATTTAAATGTCAGCGAGTGCTAATCAAGAAATATGTCAAGTTATAAGTTCAGTCATTGAAAGTTATTACTTGCCCGCAATAGCTCACCTTAAGCGCTTGAGCAATCTTTGCTTCGTTGTCCTCTATGCCTTTGTAATAATTGTAGAGCCGCCAAGTCTTGTCAAGAACAAGATTCCTCATCTCATCCTCCATAGAGCATTCATAGATCATACTTTTCTTCTTGATGCTGACTTGATCACTGGCTTCTAAAAACACTTTGTGCTCGTTTTCAATAGTAGATTTCAAGGATGACGTTGTTCGATATAGCATAACTTTCATCTTGCTAGTATTGCTGAATAATAGCACACATGCACCCTTGCGCTTTATCATGATAAGACGAACAGATACATTGCTGCCATAAATACTTTGAATTTTAAGATTTTGAAATAAACAGCTTCTACGTACGTAGCGCAGATCCACCGCAAAGTCGTTGCCAACAATTATGTGCCAACCCAAGCCTAATGATAGCTCCGCTTGGCTCTGTAAAGCGGCAGCAAAATTCCGAATGCCCGTTGTCCTCTTTGCTACATCATTAACTGCTTGCTTGGCGGCCGCCTGGAGGGCCACGGACGCTACTGGGGTCTTGGACACCAGAAAGTTTGCTTTGCAAAAGACCATACTTACTGTACGTATTGATTGGTAGTGTGATAGATGAGGAAGTAAAATTTGGGTGAATTAGTAACTTGTAGGAAAAGGACTTCTGTATCGCTGATACTTAAATATCTTTGTTTGTATTTCGAACGGAGGAATTGATTAGGTTCAAGGTTGTAGTTACTTTTGGAGTAAGTGGATTGCGATACGCTACACTGTACTGGTTCTAATTATAGAAGGATTGTCGCCGACCTTAATCAAGCTTCCTCGAAGCGAAAGATCTATGGCAGCCCCACTGCATCAAGAGTACATCGTTATTAACCAGTTGGAATCAATGCGTTTTACTATTATTCGTAATATAGTAAGTAGCCTACGTCTACGCTATGACCCCTTAGTAAAAGAATAACTACTGGCTGTTTCAGCCACGAACTAACTTCTAGTTAAAGAGTAAACACACCACTAAGTGGTCGACCATCTTGAGTGTAACCCACACCATTAAGTGATCACACCAACTTGTGAAACCCACACCTTCATACCAGAGCACGTGAAACCCCGTTACCACCCCCTTAAGATTGTAGACACATACAGATCACATTCAACTGTCGCCTCGAACAAGGCCCGCGTGTCTAAGACACCATAACATCATCAAGACCTTCTTGACGAATTCTCTGCTCAATGAACCCTATGTCGAGGACCCAGCCTCGCTGGTTCCAAAAACGTCCGCGGGCAGAGCCCTTCTTCGTCTCCTGCAAGCGGTGCAACTTCGGACAGCCCAAGCTATTAGTAACCGAGTACCATGCAGCACAATGCCAGCAATAGAGTTGCCTGACCAAGACCACAGACGCGCTTTCTACTCCTGGTCGATCACCGCGCCCTCCACGGGCGATGGATTACCTCGTTGAGGATTTAAAAGAAGTGGACTACAATCGGGTACTCTTTTCCCAAGATAGGATAAAGAGGAGGACGAGATGCCCTAGCGGCGCGACGTGAGCCCTGCTCGACCCTTGCGAACGCCGTGTCCGATTTCTGACCTCTCGATTTCCGGATGAAGTGGTGTCATTACTAACAACCTCGACGAGGCACAGAGCAGCAGCTGGATGCTGTCCGCGGGACGGCTCCCATGCGCTTGAATCCACGGTCGTTACATGACCCTCGTGTGAAATACGGCTTCCGCTCGGCGGACACTGCTACAGAAGCGAATAACGCGATCACCCGATTGTTCGTCGTCTACGTTGTCGAGCTCCCAGCTACTGTACAAGCTGAGCTTGATCAGCGGAAAGCTCTCCGAGCCCGCTAATTGGTACCACAAGAAATCCCAATGAGTCGGTACTGCGCTCGACTTCGAGCTCAAAAGAGAGGCGCTCCCGTACCCGCGATCTGGACGATTCCTGTGGTGCTCACCCTTGGTGAATCCTCTGCAAATGACGAAGAGATTTTTAAGCGATGGGTGCAGCGGCATCGGAAACTTTTCTCGCTGTACAGCTTTCAGTTGAGCGACAAGGAGATGGACGTGCGAGTGAAGCTCCATCTTCGGTTTGACTTTGCCAAACTCAAGACGCGCTGCCGACTTCCATCAGATTGTCGCCCTGCGACAAATGGGTTGATCCATCATACTCCCGCGAGCTCTATGGTCTTTCACACGGGTGAGTTTGCGACTGCAGCAGCTCAGGGCCATAGCTTGGGCTGAGCTCATGGTCTTTGGCCTCCCTGGCTATTGCAGAGAGGCGAAAATCGTATGACAACGCGGAGCGTCATGATCATAAGCGTCCACGACGTCCAGGTAGTCTTTACGAGGTGGTACCTCGAACTTCCACATGTTCTCGCGGTTTGAGTATCCCCGCCACTTTACAAAATATCAGTTAAGACCCTGGCAAGGATGTCGACCCACAAGACGTTCCACGTGATAGTATAAATCACCATACTCGTCGAGAAGAGTCGGCTGCGGTGAATGACGACTGAGTTGATCGCCATCTGGTCACTCACAATACACTTCGAGATCTTGATGACAGGGTCCGACGCGATCGGGACTCCGCTGAGCATCATGCTGAGGTTGCATACCGCTGCGCGAAATACCTCGAGAGATTGGAGCACGTTGAGCACCGGCTGCCTAACGTTGGGGACTATCGCTCCTTGCAGGAGAGGCTCCTAGCCGCTGCGCAGACGAATGCGTTGCTTCATGAGAAGTTGGAGCGCTTGGCGTTGTTGGAAATTGAGATCGTTGCACCATGCTCAATACCGGTGCTAGCCCAGTTCCTGGGTGGTCGAGCGCCTGTGTGCGCCACTCCGGCGCTAGCACTTCCACGTTCACTTGCGCCGGCTCCCAGTACGGCTGGAGCAAGCTCACATAAATACCGGGTGGGTGCGCATCCGTTTTGGAAGGCTTAGCGTATACGCAAGGCCCTGCTTGGCCATAACCTTGAATCTCCGATAAACCGTGGACTAAGCTTCGTCTTAAAGACAGCAAAATGTGCATGGGTTAGGAAGGTTTTATCATCTAATAAACCATATCTCCGACATTACAACTCTTAACATTTTTTATTCCCCTTCCGACTGCATATTCTTTCCGCAAGGCTTGGCTTTCAGCCATTGCATCGCAAACGTTTCGTAAGACACTCAGTCTGGTAGACAGGAAGTCATCGACTTCCTTACAATCAGTAAGAGAGTTGACATCAGCTAGCCGCTCGACTATTTCTCCTTCAACAAGCCCTAAACCATGAGATGACGGCGTCAACGAGACGCGAGAATAAACGAGACCATTCACGTAGAGCAGTGCGTAACCGGTAGACCAATGCACTGCATTGTTCAGAGCAAACTTTACGAATGGCAGCGTGGCACTTCAGCGCCTTGAAGTCTCAGCGCAGCTGCTGCGAAGAACATCGTCAACGACGTGATTTAGGCGCTCAGTTTGATCATCGGTCTGCGGATGGTCCGCTGTGGACATATATAACTTGGTTCCCAGTACTATATAGAACGCCGGCCAACACTTCCCAGTAAAGCGTGGGTCTCTATCAAAGTCAATCGACCCCGGCAGTCCTTGTTGTCGAAAGACACGATCCACATAGATGATGTCTGGCTCCGCCACAAGATAAGCCATTTTACTCAAACGCCACGACATCCTTGTTACCCGCTGAATCTTTCGGCAGACCAAACACAAAGTCCAAACGCATGGGCCGCCATCGCCCGCAGGGTACCGGTAAACTGGCCAGCGGCGTTGCCGCGTTTGGAGAGAGTTTCACCCTTTGACACGTCTTACACGTGCACATATAGGTGTTCGTCCATTTGTACAGCTCGGCCATCAATAGTGGCAACTCAAAGAGCTGTACATTTTCCCACAGCCATGATTTCCATTGTGTGGGGTGCCGTGGGCTTTACAGAGAAAAAAGGATTCCAAATTCTAATCGTGGATACCAAAACTTGTGGCATATCCTCTGAATGGATGTTATAATACAACAATCATTTAATCAACATATATCGGTGTAACCGTGTGCGCAAACGCGCCGACGAAATCATGTTCGAGTTTCCAAACTCCTTGCACCCGAAATCCTTTGCAGCGCTACTCACATACTATCACCCGCGTAAGCGAAGCGGATTAAATCCGTCACTGACGACGCCACCGTTGTGACATGAGCAAGCTCATAATCTTATCTGCGTAAAAATTCATCAGCCAAAGCACTTTGCTTTCCTGGCTTCTATTTCACGTCAAAATTATATTCCGTGCAGGAAGAGGGCCACTTGGCCATCCTCTGCAAGAGGTAGTCGCAGTACGTAGTGACGCCTGATCTGTGTAGATCACGAACGGCTTTGAGCCATGCAGGTGAACCCTGAACTTGACAAGTGCATATTTCACCGCAAGCGAGTCCTTGACGTGAACTGGGTAGTTTTTTCTATGCAGCCTTGAGTTGCCGAGATTCGAACGCGATCACCCGATCCCGCCCATCGGGGTATGCTTGCAGTAGTGCAAAGTCGATGGCAAAGTACGAAGCGTCACCGGCGACACTGAAAGGACGATCAGGGTCTGGCGATGCCAGTATTATTGCATGAAGTAAGCTGTCCTTGACTCCGTCAAAAGCTTTCCAATGTTCTGTGTCCCAGCACTATTCCGCATCTTCTTTATGAAATTCGACAATGGCCGTGTCATTTCTGCATAATCCTCGCATTACTTGAGCCAGTAGTTGGCGAGGCCAAACCACTAGCGCAAGTCCTTTTGAGTTTTGGAACCGGCCAGCCCACAATGGCCTTGTTATCAGCTGAATCCGCTCGAAGGTCACGCTTCCCGGAGAAGCACCCATAAAGAGGAACTCCTCGGTGCCAAAGATGCACTTGTCTGCATTAGTATACAACTTATTCCTGCGCAAACACTCAAGCACCGCTCTTGTATGGACAATGTAATTTTCGTCATCCATCCCCACGTGATCCGCACGACTATCGACGAAGATATCGTCAGAGTATGTTTGTTCGTACGCCCGGCGGGGCCTGAACAATTGCGTCACAAGCCACTGGTGCATTTGACAGCCATTGGGGATCACCAGTCACTCCCAGAGCATGTCGCTTGGGGTACTCACCGCTGTCAGCGGAATATCAATCGCTCTTAAGAGCAATTGGCAATACTCATCGACCAAGTCGAGTGCGCTGTACTTTGTACATCCAACCGTGTTGCTCTGGAGAACATTCTTTCTAATAATTGGCGTCTGTGCCGGAATGGTGGCAGCATTTAGCTTATTGTAAGCGTGAGCGATACACCACTTGTAGTTCGTTTCTTGACAAAAAACAAGGGTGCCGATTGAAATGACTATCTCTCATGCACCATTCTTGCGTCGTGCTTTGCACGAAGAAAGCGTTAATGACGTCGCACTACTCTTTGTCTGGGGACATTGATGTGTTACGCAGTATTTGGTTCCTGGAACCAGGTAGATCTCATGACACACACCTCGGTCCGGATGTAGGACCGACGACGGATTTTAACCAACGGATAATACGAATCCGAAGAATTCTTCAGGATCGACGATCCACTTCGTGAGTTCAGTACC